AAAAGGTGAAATTGAAATAGATGTAAACTTCAAAAGAAGTTGTAATTGAATTGCAATTGAGCAAGAAAATAAAATATAAAGAAAGAAAGTGAGAAATTTAGAGAGAAGAAAAGAAAAGAAAGTGTACCATTTATCTTTTTAAACGATTTGGGTCGGGTTAAACCTGTATTTAATTGATATTTAAATTAAATTAATTAATTAAAAGGAGAGTGTGTCTCACGCGTGTGAGGTTGATGAGAAAATGAGCCAAAATGGTCAATTTACAAAGATATTTAATACTTTTGTGGGGTAATAGGACATTTACATAGTTAATGTGTCTTTTTAAAAATCTGAGACAACTTCAGGTGTCAATGTCTTTTCTCTTTTGTAATAGATGAGAAAGATGAGAAGTATTATGCTAACGTTTGACTATCTGACAAATATTATTTGAGTGAAAATTTTACCATGTATTTGACCATAGTATTTGGGAATTATATTTCACCTTTTCAAAAAATATGATTTATATTACAAGTTTTAAAAACTATCAAAACAAACCATAAATTTGTATTACATAGCACATGACTTTATTACCCTAAGCCGATTGTTCATCATTTTCATCAATAAATATATCATCACTTTTATAGTCATTGAATTTCAATCACCACTTTGATGTTCACGTAAAAAATTATATAAAACAATGCAAAAAATTACTATGGAGGGTGTTCTTATATAAAAGATAAAAGTTTGGTGTAGAATTTGAATTATTAAAAGTTACCAAATCATGAGATTTGACTCAAATACTTAAGCTAGCGTTTGACCATAGATTTCAAATATTCTTGGCAAATATTATTAGGGTGAAAATTTGGGTGAAATTTCACCATGTGCTTGCTAGTATTTGAGAAATATATTTCACTTTTTTAGAAAAATATGATTTATACCCATAAATTTTTAAAACTATCAAAACTAACCATAAGTTTGTATTACAAGTGAATTGGATTTTCGTTCCAACGATAACAAATAGTGTCCATGACACTAGAGTAATGTGGTAATTTGGAGTGAGTGAAACATGCATCATTCCATACATCATGAAGTAGACAAATCACATGACATTGTTATCATGAGCCTATTGTTCATCATTTTCATCAATAAACATATCATCATTTAATATTCAGTAAATATTTCATCACTATTTTGGTGTTCCGCGTAAAAAATTATGTAATACAATGCAAGCAACTACTATAGAGGGTGTTTTTGTAAAGGATAAAAGTTTGGGGTAAAATTTTAATTTTCAAATATTATTTGGGAAATCTATGGCCAAACGGCTAGCTTTTTTCTATTATTTGGATAATTTACTAAATTATGTCAAATTATATGGACAAATACTATTTACCATATTTTCTCCCAAATTTTACTCGCGAAATTTATATATGGTGAAATGTGCCCTATATTTTATTTATATTTTGAGGTTGATATAGTGAAAGAGACCGTTAGGAGAAGAAAAAAATATTCTTCTCCAAGCTTTTCACAATACAAAAGTGAGGCATTGTAAGTTGAAGAAATGCATATTTCTATTGATGGATCTTTGAAATCTTTAACTAATTCTGAGTTGTTTAAATTATATAACATTGTTAGACTGTTGTATCGTTTAAAGAACAGGTCAAGAAATATATTATTGAATCGATGTAAATTATGTCTCAGAAACTTGAATCTCCTTAAAAAAAACAGTGAAATTTTCATAGCTCATTCTAAATATATATTTATTCAATTTATTTTTTAACTACAACTTATATATTACAATAATTTAGTCAAGAAGGTATTGAAGAGATTAAACTCCTAGTAGAATAAACTCTTGTCCTCTGGCCGGAAGATACATTCTGATAGCCCATCTTTTGCAAACTATGTATTGATAACTGAATATATTATGAATCATATTAAGACTCCAAAATATATTATGGAGTATCCACCGTAGTTAGTTATTTTTAATCTTTGATTTACAAAATCATTTGTCAATGTATATATTATCGTTGTTATTAATAGGTGCATAGGTCCATCTCCTATATTTGATGAGAATGTATATTCCTATTATAAACGTGAATTTGTTTATCGATATTCAGGTTCAAGATTAAACACTAATTTTATATGGAGATAAGTATTGAAAATTTTATTTTCTTTTTCTTTTATATATCATTTCAACTTCTTTTCGTTCGTACTTTCTTCATATTATTGATTAAATCTGAATCTTTAGTAATGACAATTTCTATTCATACTGGATCGATTTTTCAAGAAAATATTAATATCAAGATTTTATTGAACTTTCTAATCAAAATAAGTTATATGCAATTACGTAATCTGCAGATAAATAATCTCATTATATATTGATATGGGGTAAAATTCTATTGTTATAATGATTCTAATCCCTCTTGTGAACAAGAGTTAAAGTGTCACTATGAATCGGGGTGTAGTATAACTATTGTGAGGAAAATCAAATGATGTATAAGGTGAAGGGATACATTTGATTGTTAACTGCGTCATGTCATGTGTTCCTATTTGATTTTTCATTAGAGTGAAGAATATATATATATTTTAATTTTTGAATGACAAAGACATTATTCAAAAATATGACAGATTATTTATATACCATTTATAATAGTTTGAATATATTTATCATTTTTTCTCTTTTAAAATAAGTGTAAGAAACATATTTAAATTATTTTTTTTGAATTTTATATCTAAAATATTGAAAATATAAGTATGATATCAATTATACGTATTTCTCAAGCCAATATGAAATTAATATTTTAAGTTAAACGTATTTTCGACATTTATATCTATCTTCTTTTTTTTTAGAAAAAAACAGATTTGCAAGTAGAGATGCTTGCCTTTGAAGAACAAAGAAGGTAATCACTATCTCCTCCATTTTCCTTTAACCTAAAACTAATCATTGCAGAATTGTTTGTTCTCCTTCCGCATCTCTCTCTCTTTCTTCTCCGTTGATCGGAAAACAGTGACCAGAAATGGCTCGAGCCGGAGGAATAACAAACGCGGTGAATGTAGGCATAGCAGTACAAGCAGATTGGGAAAATCGTGAATTCATATCTCACATCTCTCTCAACGTCCGCAAACTCTTCGATTTCCTCGTCCAATTCGGTAAATTTCTCTAACTCATTCAATATCCTTAGGGCAAATATTCGGTTTTTGTTAAATTCCTGTTGTAAAGCGATTTCGGTGTTGATTTTGTTCTACTTTCAGAGGCGACGACGAAGAGTAAATTGGCGACACTGAATGAGAAGCTTGATACACTGGAACGTCGTTTGGAACTGCTTGAAGTCCAAGTCAGTACAGCAACTGCTAATCCAGCTCTGTTTAATGTTTGACATGATGCAAGCATTGTACTAATATTCTCAATCTGTAAGGTACTTCAATTCTGTATTATAAATAGATTGCTTTGTTTTGGAGATCATATTTGTGAAAAGTCCTTGTTTTATGAAAATCTCAATCAAATGTGCCTGAATTAGTTAGGTTAGCTATATGAATTTGTGTGAGATTCGGCTCTATTCAAGTACATTATGTTCGGATAGTTAATAATCAGTTGCAATTTTGTGGAAATGATTCATGGAATTTAGTAGCTGCAAGTATGCATACCTATTGGATCTACAGTTTCTTTCATCTAAGTTTTCAGTTCGCTAAAACTACTGTGTTGGTTCATTGCTAATGCACAATGGAGATTGTCTATGTGTAAATTGGAATGATAAGTTGATTTGAGGGGTCAAAGCATTACTATAAATTCTTCAAGACCATCTTAATCTTTTGACCTAGTTAATATGAAGCAAATGTTGTTTATACCTTCTGTAATGCCGTTTTGATATTCTTGCCTGTTTTCTTCATATGGCTTCTTGGAACTTTAATCTGCTGGATCTCAGTCTCTTATTTTTCTCTGTGAGTTGGTTCTTTTCTCATGTGCGATGGAGATTTATATGTGGAAATAGGAACATTGTGCTTGTTCATTTATAAAAGTTACTTTACCTTCTCTGGGAAAAAAATGATCGTTTTACCTTCTCATTTTTTTTCTACTAACTTTTTATGTAATACAATCATGTGAAATGTCATTCTTGTAGTCAGTAACCAATCAACGATGCTTAAACTAAAACTTGTTGTGTCATCTATGTGAATCCTCTAATCCATCCTGCTTCTTTGTAATACTAAAAGAATTATCTTTTGAAGTAAATTAGAGGTTTCTAGATCATACTTGGACATGGAAGCTTTAATTAGGACTTCCTGACTTGTAGCAGTTTTTAATACATCCTTGTTTTTAATACGTCCTTCGTTCCAATTTATGTGGCGTCGTGTGACTGGCACAGAGATTAAGAAATTAAAAAGACTCTTTGAAGTTGTGGTCTAAAACAAGTCAGAGATGTGTCTAGTAGGAAATCCTCATTAAGGGTAAAATAGAAAGTTTAAGTAAGTATGACATTCTGTCTAGGACAGACTAAAGGTGAAAGTAGACACATAAATTGGGACAAAATGAATAATCGTTTTCAATACAGAGTTTAACATAATGAAAGGTTGGACATGAGAATGAAATAGCTTGCTGGCCATATACCATACAGCTATATTCCAGACTGGTTATTGTTAACATGGTTGATTTATCTATTAAGGGTTACTTGGTATTGACTGCTATTGTTTACATGTTTTTCCCTTGCCTTCTTCATACTAGCCACCAGGTTCGTAGTTTAGATTGAGCACTGTTTATTTACAAAGTTATAAGATTATATTAATGTTAAATTTGTAATGGACTTATAGCCTATAGGAGTTAAGTAATAAGTTTTAGTTCTAGTTGGAAGTTGTATTATGTGGAAGTGGACAAGTCCATTAAGAAGATCTGGCAAATGATCCAGCTCGTAATTTTTGGTGTCTATGCGCAGAAAGGAACAAAAGATGTTTTGATGGGACTTCAACTCCTCACTGCTCTCTTAAGTCCAAGTGTTTGATAAATCTCTTTAGAAAGAGCAATCTATCCCCTGTAAATGGTGTCATTCCCCTTTAGATTGTATCAGCTCCCTCTCAGTGTCTTAGCAGCCTTGAGTTCTAGTTTCTTTTATCTGAGATAATTCAACTCTTGTCAAGAAAGAAAAGAAAGAGAATCTGAGATAATTCATTCACATATTTCTCAGATCTCTCAATCCAGAAACACCTTGAATCAAGTTATTTTCTAATTAGCCCTTCAACTTGATCACATTGCTTTCTTTCTATCAAACACATCTCATTTTTACGAAGACATGAAACTTGTGTTTTCAGACCTCATTGACCTGTTGTATCACTGTAACTTTGAGTGCTGAAAGCTCGTGTATTCCTGAAATGGAAGGGTTTACAGGGCAATGAGTATTCTCATTCCTTCCAGCTTCATTTGTTCCCTCCATATTTGATTTTGGGATCTTTACACAAATAGCCAACCAGATTCACTGTTTAGTTTTCCTAAACGCTACACATATATCATCCACGGTTATACAATATTATATTATACATCCGCCGGCTATTTTTAGTTTAAGCTGTTGGGTAGGCAGCTATTTAGGTTAATTCTTCTATTTTCTTTATTTTGATCCTATGGAAATTAACACCCTAGTTGCTGTATAAAGAACATAAGAAGTAAAAGTTTAACACCCTACATACATGTATGGTGCCTGGAAACTTTGACATAACTTACTCTGTCCATCCATCTTCTTTATGTTAACTACGCCTCTATTCCAAGCTAGTTGAAGTTGGTTATATTGATCCTTAATAGCTTGTGAGGATTCATCATATAATGAATAATTACTTGCTGGCCGTCAACCTACCGTAATTCTCTTCTTTTATCCGAGTTCTCAACTTGCAACAGGAAAAATTCTCACAGGCTATTTATGTACTGCATAAAAAACTTCTGAGTTTTTTAAGAATTACAACTTTCCTTTTGATGGTTTATTAAGTTCAACGTCCTTCTAATTCAAACTAGCTATTGTTGCAATTCTTGTTTACAGTTTAGGGATCTCGCCATCTCCTGCTAGTGAAATTTTATTTCCCTCTAGCAATTATGAATGATCTATGTTTTCACAAGATGCTGTTTGAATATTGCACCAAAGTTGGGGTGAGAGAGGGATTTCTTGGACTCAGTAAAACATGTTTGCAGTGAGCCAGTGACTATTCAAGAACTCTATCCTATCTTTTGACCCAAGGATTTCGGCTATCTGATCTCAACTCATTTCATATAATCTTCAAAGTACGGATGTCATCGTTATTATGGAAAGATAAGCCCTTAATAAGCCGTGAGCCGCTGCACAGTCTTTTAACGTACACGGTTACATTTGAGGGTGATTAAGAGTAATTTTCTCTTATTCCTTTTTTATTTTATAAAAGAAGTGATGCTACTTATCAGGGTTTAGGTAGATAAAATCTCCTGTTATTTGATGTCGGCCGAACCCTAAGTTTGGATTGTGCAGCTTTTCAGTGATGTGAGATGTGAAGTTTCAGATTTGTTGTGGATTGAATCTTATTCTTTGATAGGTTAATGCTTCAGTAATTGAATGACCCAGAGCAGTGACGTATAGCAAGCTGCACGTGTTCTTGTGCTATGCTTAGAAAAGAACCAGTGCTTGGATTTTATTAATAGTGGGCATTTATTTAGAAGCTCTCTTACATTTTAGAATCTTCTTCAATGAATAAATAAGGGACAGTTTAAGTTGAAGGAATTTGAAGGAAGTAATTTGTTTGAGAAACTTCCCACCGAATCTGTTATATGTTGCAACAGCCGTAATAGTTTCAAAAAGAAATGTTTTTTAAAAAAACAGCCGTAATCCTTGTGCTGAACAATTATCTCGGCAGTGGAGGAGCTGGTTTTGAAAGGAGGTGATGAATGGATCTATTTCAAATTTAGTGGGTGGAAGGTTAATGGATCTTTCTATTCTATAGAGAAATGATAAGATCTTCCAAACTTTAAATGGACTTCAAAGTCCTTATATCTATTATCATGGCATCTTCAAGCTCTCTTACAATGTTGGCCATGCATGGTTAGTAAGCACCAGCTTCCACAGATCCTCTTCCTTAATACCTCGATGCATAATTTGTTCAACTCTTGTGTTCCTACTATGAAGTTTAACCTGAACATCAAAGAGAACACTTGCAAGTTATTATGCAGATTAAGTAAGGCTGGACAACGGAACGGGATGTACCGGTACCATTTTGGTTAGTCCCGGTTCGGTTGCCTACAGGACTGAACGGGACATCTCGAACCGGGACACGGAACGGAATGGAACCGAGGTTTGGTATCGGTGGTTTATCCCGGTTTCGGTCTGGTCCGGTCCGGTCCGATTTCGATTAATTAATATTTATTAATTAATTAATATTATAATTTATTAATTAATTTATATTATATATTTATAAATTATAATTTATATTTTATATTTTATATTAAATAATAAATACTACCCAAGTAACCCCAACTACTCCCTATTAGTATTATATTAATATTACATTACTATATTAATATTACATTCGAGACTTAGTTGAAACAGAACCTTTCCTAGAAGGTGGTTACATAAACTATGCACCCTACTAGTAGTTCTAAATTGAAATTGTAATTTATAATACAAATTTAAATAAATCAAATTGATATTTTTTAATTTGTGTGATTGTTTTATCCTTATTTTTTTTAATTTTTAAAATTACAAATTTAATTTATTTAAATTACAAGTTATAAATATTACTTATAAATTATAACATATTAATAAATAATAAGTACTAACTTTATTAGACTTAACGTGCAAACTTAAAAGTAAAATTTTTATAAAAAATTATCTTTAAAATAACTTAAGTAAGAAATTACACTATAAATTTAAAAACTATTAATTTAAACTTAGAAAAAAAAAATATTCATATTTCGTAATTAAAAAAAATCATTTTTTGAGATAACTAGATGTGTCATTCCGTTCCATCCCGGTATATAGTGGGACGGGACGGAACTGAGTATCCGTTTCGGTAATTTCGGTTCGGTTCACCCGGTACCGATCAACTCGTCCCATTCTGGTCTGGTTACGGTTCATTCCAGTCTGGTGGTCTCGTTCCGGTTCGTTGCCAGTCTTAGGATTAAGTTATGCAAAGTTGCATTAGTTAAGCAGTTGGCATAAGTTTTATTTTGAATGAACAACACTATGTTGGTTTGCACCTCTATATATTTTTTCTGATTCGAAGAGATTCGTTTATCTTCTTTGAAGATCAGCTGGTGAAGAGGGATGAATACTTTCTCCTGGTAACATAACAAGTTTACTCTTTCGATATTTTGAGAAAGGATGAGTGCAGTAGCCTGCTAGAAAGAGAAGGATTTACCAACTTTAAGAAACTAGCATAAGCAGTGAATGTGCAGTTGTTAAAGGGATATCACTTAGGGAAGTGACAGTGGACACAAGTGGTAGTGGTAGTGGTTATTTAGTAATCCAGTGAGGGGTCTTGTGGCAGTTTGTTTGTTGGTTGTGGGGACAGAATAGAGAGCAGGTATATTGGGCTTATTGGCTATGGAAGAGTTCAGAAAGAAGGTTAAAAACAGTAGTTGTGGCAGCTGTGGTGGGGGCTATGGGAAATGTTGTGGAAGCAATCACTAATGCTTGCATTAGGTTAGGTTGTCTATATCACAATTCACAGGTGAGGCTCTTCCTAAACCTGCTAACTCGGGATGCTTTATGCCCCGGCTAAACTGGTCTAAATTGTTCTATTTCTGATGAATATCTGATAGTTCTATTTGTTTTCTGTGAGTTTTCTATATCTTCGTTATTGTTTTGTAACATTAGTAGTTTCTAAGCTCAAACATCAATGAAGGCCTAAATCTCAATTCTATTAGAATGGCTTATCAGATTATCAGAAGGTAAAATCATCTTGTGGATATTGGGGGAAAAAACAAGGGGGTCTTGGCATAAAAAATCTCAAGCTACAGAGTAAGGCTCTCAGATTGAAATGGCTTTGGAGATATTGACAAGAACCTCAAGCATATTGGAGTAAGGTTATAAATCAAATATGGTGAAGTGGATAAGTGGATGACAAAGGAAGTGAAGACCCCATATGGGGTTAGTGTGTGGAGATCAATTAGATTACGCCTTCATGGAGAAGCACACAAATATTAAAGTTGGAAATGGGCTCAAGACTTCTTTTTGGAAGGACAATTGGTTGAGATCAGATAGCTTATACAGTTTATTCCCTAACTTAGCTGTAATGGCAGTAGAATCGGAGATGAGTGTGGCTGACACATGGACACAACAAGGTTGGAACATTTATTTCAGGAGGAACTTCAATGACTGGAAAATTGATTCAGTCATTGAGTTCTTCAGAATGTTGGAGGAATTTAAAGGTACTAGTGAAGAAAAGACAGTCTTTGGTGGAAATTGGATAGCAAAGGTAGTTTCAAAGTGAACTCCGTATACAAGTTTTTGAACCAAGGAAATTTACAAAGACAACATTGGCCGTGGAAACATATATGGAAGATCAAAATCCCCTTCAAAGTAGTCTGTTTTACTTGGTTATTGACAAAAAGGCTATTTTGACACAAGAGAACCTCAAGAAGAGGAAATTTTCCTTGTGTTCTAGACATTACCTTTGTGATGAACAGGTTGAGACAATTAGCCATCTGTTTCTACAGTGCAGTACAACTACTCAGTTGTGCAGAATCTTTGTTAGCCTTAGGGGTATTAGTTGGGTCATGCCTAACAAAATAACTCATTTGCTATATAGTTGGGAGGAAGCAGGAGTAGGAGCTGCTGACAAAGACGGATGGAGGATTGTCTTAGCTTGTATCTGGTGGACAATATGGAAGGAAAGGAATTCAAGATGTTTTGAGAGTAAAAATTGTGATCTATAGATGATCAAACTAAATTGCGCTAGACTTTTTTGTTTCTGGTGTAAACAAATATGCTGTAAATATGGTTTCAGTGCAACCTATTACTGACTTGTGAATAAACGCAACTGTTACCTTCTAAAAAAAATCATCTTGTGGATATAAAAGAAACATCATAATCCATTTTATATTCCCAAAGTGCAAGGAATATTTATTGTTTACTAGGGGATCGGATCTGTGGGGGAAAAAATCACTTTTAACCAAAACCTCTTCTTATTATTAAAAAAAAAAGGAATAAGGGTGAGTTTGGTACGAAGGAAAATGTTTTTATAGAAAACAAGTAGATTTATGACTTATTTTCTCATGTTTGGTGAGTAGAAGATATTTATAGGAAATGATTTTTAGTGTTTGATTTATGATTGAGAAATATCTTTTATTTTTACTAGAGTAGAAAATAATTTTTGAAACTGAAAATAAATTATTTTTTTTTGGGGGGGGGGGGTGCTAGGGGTGAAAAGAATAAAAATTTAAAGTTGAAAATATTTTTAAAAAATAAAATAATTTATTTTGGGTGGGGGGTGGGGGCCTGGTAGGAGGGTAGGGGTGAAATAACAAAAATTTGAAGTTGGATGAAAGTTTTGGAAAATGTTTTCCTTAACTTTTGAAGAGAAGTCATTTTCCTTAATTTTGAGAAAAATAAGTTGATTTGGAGTCAATTAAACAAAAGAAAATTGTTTTCCTTCAACAAACACACCCTACCTAAGTGTTTCAACTTATATAACACATCCTGGTCACTTTTACCAGTTGTAGCATGTAACTTATTTATGAATTTCACTTTCTATCAAGGAATACTTGCTGATATCCTAGCATCATAGAAAACTAGATCTTATGAAAGAGAAAATTATGCAACAAAGCAAATTTATACTATTTAATTACTCATTATAGCTACAGTTTGCTATAATTATCACTCGCAATTAACATTATACATTAATTACGTTGGCTGACTTTGAGTTTGTATAATTAGTCGCGTTTGTTTAAGTATAATTCGCCAGAATATACAAATACATATGTATAATATATAACTTTTTAACCTGTATACATATACAATTCATCTCTCTCTCACTGTCCGCGCACTCTCGCTCGCCTCTCTCCTCTCTCTTCCAATCTCGCTTGCCATTTATACAAATGCATATGTATAATATACAGTTATATACAATTTTTTTGGTCGAAATAAGAACTCTATTGAAGAAAAAACCAACTCATCCCGCTATTACAATCTACTTTTACCATCCCCCTTCTATCCTATGATATTACCTATCTATTCAAACAAATTATCTATTCATGTTCTATCCTTACATTTTATACCTCTATGTGTTCTGCTCATAAATTTGCCTTTACTCTCCTCCGTGATCTTCTTCATAATTTCCGTCGGATAATTGCTCTACTGATCTTCCCTTTGGCTTTCCTTGGTAGTCTCCTCCATATTCCCTCCAGTTTAGTTCTTTGTATATCCATTCGAGTACCGCCATTAAGCATTTCATTGAATACTCACATTCAAAGAAAATATGTTCTATACTTTCTGGTTTGCACCCACACGATAAGCATTCTCTTTCCTCACATATTCCCATCTTTGCAAGCCTATCTCTTGTTAGTAGCCTCCTATACCTAGTCAGCATATGAAACTGTGTTTTGGCACATTCATT